CCCAATGAACAAAAGAAAGGTTCTTTACATGGTTCTAAATTTTACATTTTTTAGGTTAATTTTGAATCATTTGACACCTTACGATCATAAAAATGGGTTACTCTATAAAATGCTGGAGCAGTCATTCTACTTATTCTCCCTTTGATTTTAATGATTTATGTGCACTGCAGAAATAAAGACAAATATTAATCATTCCACCTAAAGAGCCTCATTATTTACATTTTGTTATCAATCTCTGAGCACATTTAAGAAATTAAAGATAGGATTGAGGCATCATGGCTTAAAAAAAAAAAGAAATTAAAGTAGGATCTAGAGTCACAATTCTTTTTTGGGGGCTCCCACTGGGGATCAAACCCAGCCTCCAGTATGTTAAACTATCATTCCTCCACAGAACTACATCCCACCTTAAAGCCACAATTTATTGGCCCATATCTGTTAAGTAACACAATGGAATCTCCCATGTATCCAAATATTCCTTGAAAACAATTTAAAAACTGCATCGCCATTCTTACAAATGCCTTTTTTCTTTTTCTTTTTTTTTGGTACCAGGGATTAACTCAGGATCTTGTGCTTGCGAGACAGGCAGTGGCACCACTGAGCTAAATCCCTGGCCCTCTTATTTATGTTTTAATCACTTGTTTTCTATATTGTTTAATATTTACAATGTCCTTCTTGTATTACTATATAACTCATTTGTCTATTTCAGTGTCTTTAACACAAGGGTATCCCTGACTCCTCACCCAAGCAGGGGTAAACGATGTGAAGAGATCTCTTGGGTTGTCCGTGATAGGGGTGGATGTGTCACTAGTATTTCATTTCATGTCTGGGGAACTAAAATGCAAAACATCCTGTAATACAGGCAGGTCAAGCACCCACAGCTGGCCTGGAAGAATGTCTGGACTGGAAGACAACATGGTATGTCTCGATTGGGAGGCCATGGAAAGGAGAAAAGACCTGGAGATCTGACCAATGCATACACAGAAAGCAGATCTCATGAGGTGAAAGAATTCACAAGAACCAACAGAGACTGTGGCAAGAGACAAGCAAAAGATACGGGTCCCTATGAGATATGAAAAGGTTTGGACATGGAGTAAGAGAGAAAAATGAAGCCAAACGAGGACTTCCAGTGTCACAGCACGTCAAGTTCTATAGACCTGCTCCCCAGTGAAATAGTGAGGTATCATTTAAAAGCGACAATCACTTAAACCTCTTGAAATGGTCCTAAGGGCAAAGAGAAAAAGAAGAAATATCCAAGCCGGGCGTGGTGGTACACGCCTGTAATCCAAGCACTCGGGAGGCTGAGGCAGGAGGGGCTGTGAGTTCAAGACCAGCCTGAGCTACATAGTGAGTTCCAGGTCAGTCTCAAAAATCCCAAAACAAAACAAAACAAAACAACGAAAAAAGAAGAAATATCCATAAAAATTTGGCAAAAAAGACAAGAACTAGTTTCTGATATTTGAACTAAGATTACTGTCTCCTTGAAACCTCACAGCTAGCTCAGCAAGGCAGAAACCCTTCTCCAGGCTCCTGCAGACAAAACACAGGCCTTCCCACCCCCATTCCGAGCCTGAGGTCATTCTGACCTGGAAGAACTGGACATTCTGTCCTCAGATGTCTAAGTTCTGGGCAAGTGGACTTCAGAGATGGGTGCTCACATCTTCAGCTCAACCCTTACTCAATGAAAGGGTTACTACTGAGAACAGGCGCCTCACATGAGAGTACAAGGGCTCTTGTCACCCTTGCCTCGGCTTGTGACCCATGCCAGAACAGCTACCATCTCATTCCCACTTCCCCCCAGCAACTTCTTGAGGTGCGGTGTCACTGAAGAAGAAACTTGTCATTATCTTAAGCCCAGGCTGAGAGATTTTAACAGGAGAAAAGAGAACATAACTAGACAACTCCTAATTTCTCCTCAAACAGTATGACTTCACTGGCACCTAGACTGGAGAAGCTGTGCACAAAAACATTTGGGAAGGGATTCTAGACACAGAATAAACTGTAGACCAGCTAGTCTGCAGGAAAGAACCAAGGACTAGGACAGCTAGGAGGAGCCATCCTGAGCTTAGAATACCTATGAAACACTGCTCTCAGATATCATTTCTTCAAATCAGCCAGAATTTGATGGGATTAATACTCAGAGCAACAGCAGTCAAGGAGCAACAAGGAACTTAAAAACAAGAAGGGAGTTTAATCTCAAAGAAAGAGAGACCTGACAGCCTATAATTTTATCAACAATTAAGAAATGTTGAATAAGTACTCAACCAAGCATAGATCTCATATTGAAAGTAACTGAAGAAACAGTATCTTACCTGGACATACCCTACTATGAAGTAGGGCCTAGAAGAGACTTTTTTCTTGTCATCATTCCCTTGACAACACAGTGACACAACTACTTACATCAAATTTCCATTGTAGCATAGGCATAAGCACCTAGAGGATAACTAAAATTCTACAGGAGAATGCCTGTAGGTCATACGCAAATATTATGCCATTTTGATTATTTCTGTTTGGGGCATTGAGGCCCTGACCCTTTGAAGTGTGCACTGAGCTATAGCCTACCCATGATGCTTCTTACGTAAGGGGCTAAAGTATCCTGACTTTTGATAACCCCTGGGTAGGGGAACAGAGTTTTGGAACCAAGCCCTAGGCTCACAGAGGGAGGACAGTGATGCTGCATCCACATCATGCAACCACTAAAATTACAACCAGTGAGATTCTTTAATGCTATGGAGAAATACTTAAGGCACAGCCTTACATCTAGACATAAAATATACACAGTAAAGTCTTGAGTAACTTAAAATACGTACTTTGCATGCATGGGGAGATTTAAAATGTAAAAGAAATAACGTCTAAAGATTAACAGTCATTTCCTTCTGGGACAGATGTTGACTTTCTTCTTTAAACTTCTATACAATTTCCAATTTTTCAACAATATGAACATTTATTTCAAATCCATTATTATCACAAAAAGCAGCTACCTAAAGTTGAGGCACATCACATGTACGTGTAAGTGAGGTGAGAAACCATGAGCGGATGACACTGATCCATCTAATACTGCTTCCAAGGTGGAAACAAAATATTACACACCAAAAGCAGTAACTCTTACATTATCAAATAACTCCTATCACGAAAATACTAGACTTTAGCCTAAGAGCCTATAAACAAAGAAGTGACATCAAAATAACCACATGATGAGCCTGTGTTTAGCTCTCTGATCTTCTCAGTCCCTCACTGACTGACTCCTTGGTGCTTGCTGCAGTTTAAATCTAAAATGCCCTCCCAAAGGACCATAGGCTTAGGGGTGCAGCTTCCTCAAGTGCAGAGGTGGCTCCTGAGGGCTCTAGCTCCACTGGTAGGTCAGTCCCTTGATAACATCACGATTTAACGGCATAACTGACAGCTGACAGTCCCCGGAGGAAGTGAAACCTGGTCCCAGGCCTTCTCCTCGGACTCTTTCCCTCCTTTCCTTGGTGGCCATGAAATGCAGGGCTTTCCTCCACCATGATGCTTCTGCATCACCACAGCCCTAACAGCAATGGAGCTGGCACTGCTATGGACTGAAACTTCTGAATCTGTGAGCCAAAACTTTTTCTCTAAGTTGTTTTTCTCAGGCATTTGTTCACAGTGATAAAAGACCAACTCATATGCAGCCCTTCAAGACTTCAAGCACACTCTCACCTTGGGCCCTTGACTGGAATGTTCTTCCCTACAGACACTGTCCACACGGCTCTGTCCTGCTTCCCTTCCTGCCTTGGCTCCAATGCCAGATCCCCAGTAGGCTGACGAAGACTTCCCTATTCAACAGTGAAGCCCCTTCATCCTGGCATCTGACAACCTTCATGCTCCGTTTTGCTTTTTGGTAGTACGGAGATTGAAACCAGGGCCTCAGATATGCCAGACAGGCATTTAGTTTTCTTCTTCGTCCACAGCATTTGTCACCTTCTGACAAAATATACAACTTTTAAAACGTTTATATTGTCTGCATGTCTTTCTCCGCCCACTGGAAAATAAACCCAAAAGAAAGATTTTGACTTTTGGTCTCTGATGTGTTCAAAGCACCAAAAAAGCACCATGCATAGTAAGTGCTCAATAAGTACATATCAATGTATAAATACCCAATAATACAAATGTATAAATATAAAAATGGCACGATAAAATTTTACTACTTAAAACTGCACCATTTTCCTTGCATGTGTAATCAAGGGAAATATGATGTACACAGCTCTTAGAAAGCCTGTCCATCTTTATCATTCTTGTTTCAGTCTGTGTCTACTAAAAAACTTATGTTGATTTACTGAAAAATGTCTAAATTTTATTTTGTTAACACTGTGTAGGAGAGGCTGCACATAGCCAGGGAGGCATATTACGTAGTTTTAAATATATTTACATATTAGGCCAAATACATTATAATGTGTAAGATCTACTCTGCATTATTAAACAAAAGCAATCTTGAAACTACACTTGCTTTATTATATGCACTCTAACAGTTCAAACAAGAAGGCCAACTCTTGATAAAAAGTTTGAGAGGTGATAACTTTGTAACTTTCTATCTCAACTTTTCTTCAGATTGCAAATGCTCACTGCCCCAGTGAGACATTATTTGGAATGGGGAAAACAATCAAATTTGAAAGGCCTAGGTTATTTATTTATTTTTCTGGTACCAGGAATCAAACTCATGGCCTTGTGCTTGAGAGGCAGGTGGCAGCACCACTGAGCTAAATCCCCGGCCCAGGCCTAGGTTATTTTCAAAGCAAAGTATGTGTTGTTAAAAAGTGCCTAATACTTAACATTCAACCCAATCAGAACTTATTTACCTGTACATGTACCAGTAACAAGATCATCCCATTTATTTTAACAGCAGTTTTCTATTACTACTTCTACTTCCTTTACTGTCAAAGATTAAAACCTAAACCCTGTGGTAAGGACTCTACAACTCCTAAACAAAAGAGGTCTCAGAGAGATGCAAGGGCAAAGCTTCCCCAAAGTTGTTTAGCTGATACCTCTGAATGCCGTTCAAGGCTTCCAGTGTCAGATCCGGAATGCTGCTCATTGATATCATCCTCACCATCTGACCCTGAATCCCGTTCATCCTGTACTGGGGTAGCACCACCATCATCTGCTTAAAAACAAACAAACAAACAAAAAAAAAAAACAAAGGTGGATGACGTCTACAGGTGCCACTAAAACAATGAATCAAGAATATCAGAGCAAAACTTACCACAGACAAAGTAAAGACACTAATATTTTGAACAAAACAATATTTATATAAATACCAACAATTACTAACAATGTATCATAAGTGGTAGCAAAAATACTTGAGAAATATGAACCTTAAAATCACTAAAGCTGGATGTGGTGGCACATGTCTGTAATTCAGCACTCAGGAGGCTCGTGCAGGAGTGACACAAGTTCAAGACCAGCCTGGGCTATATAATGAGTTCAGGGCCAGCATGAACCACACAGAAAAGACTTCGTCTCAAAAAAATAAAGAATATCACTAAAAACCAAGTCAGTAACTTCTAAACAATAGTGTGCTGCTCAGTTATTTCAATTCTTATGCTAGAAACCATCTTTCCACAACATTTACCAACTTCTAATGCGTTACATGATTTTTCAAATTATTTTGGCTCATTTGGGTTACTTTCCAGTTCTTGGAGCCTAGGACACTGCCTGACTTACGCAAGTTACTGGTACACTGCTTCTGCAAGAGGAGCACAATAACTCCCGCCTGGAAACAGTGAAAACTTACTAAAGTATACACTGTGTTACAAAATGAGTTGTAAATATGAACTGCTACCTCACTTTAACCACTACTTTAAAAATATGAAATAAAATTGGGGTTTAGGGCTGTTTACGGCTATTGGAAGACTTGGTGAGATACTTAACAAAAACATTTTACTTCAACTTTGTTACCTTCTAACCTATGTGAAACAAATGAATTGGAAACACTTCTGAAAACTTTACAAAAAGCTTTAAGCAAAACAGCAGTACACGAATGAAAAGCACTTGCAGTTATTTTGATTTGCTGCCAAAATAAAGAATGGAGATGAACTCAGAGCAGTAACATCTTAAGGCTTAACCAACTACTTCAGCCCTTTGATACAGAAAGCAAACAACCCACCATGTCCTGTCCTATGCGTCTTTGTGTCCCCGGTGCCTGGCACAGTGCTAGCAGAGTGGGCCCCAGTGTGTGTACTTGAATAAACAAAAAAGACCAAACTTCTGCCAGGAGGAGAAAGAAGATCTCCAAGTGAAGGAAAAACCACAACACTCACCAATAACCTTACTCTAAAATACTTATGCAACTCCAACAAGGGTGATGCATGTTCTCCGCGGGGAGCCGGTGCTACAGAAATTAAGCGGGGCCTAACTCGAGTGAAAAGTCTAGGAAGGAACCCTGAACCCTCGTGAACATTTCTTTGAATTCTCGATAAACTCATCTTAAAGAAAGAAAAATCCCGCAAGGAGAAAGACATACCTTCCCTAGCACGGTTCCACAGCACCGTAGTTGGCGATTAATACGTGGAAGTGGCTCCCCTATTTCAGCAAAACACTTCACCGGTCCCAAAGACCGCTTTCCCTCTAACTCCCCTCTCCAAAGTTCTATTCCGAGGCCGCGGTTGGTTGCTCGCCTGGCGCGTCCCGCTCCGCCCCGCCGTCCGCTTCGGAACAGGTCCAGGAGGAACGGTCCCCGGGTCTCTGCCTCCCCTCCCGCCGGGAACCGCTGTGCCCCCAGCCGCGTCGCAGCCCCAGCCCACCTGACTGATCGCCACTGTAGTATTCAGAGTCCATCGCAGGCGGGCTCTCCGCGGGGAGTGTCCGCGCCCCGCGCCGCCCCCGTCACCTCCCTTCAGGTGGTGTGACCTCCGATGGCGCGGCGCAGTGCCCCGAGGCTCCCGCCTAATCGGAGAGATCGGAGAAAACGGAGAATAAAAAAAACGGCGGCTGCAGGGCTGAAAGCTTCGACCCGGGAGCCCGCGCAGAAAAGGCCGTACTGAGAGGTCCCCAGGCCTGCAGGTCAAGGCTCTACTTCCGAGAGGCACCGCTGGGGCCAAAATGGCGTCTACCCACGACCCTCAAAGGGATGCAGTGCGCAGGCGCTGTCGTGCGTCAACTCGGCCAATGAAAAGGCGCGACAGTAACGAGGCGAGGCGCTGCCGAAATGGAGACTCCTGGGAAAACTGAGCGGGAGTTCCTGTTTCGGTTAAGTGAGTTTCCTCTCCAGGAATCTTGTCTGTTTCCTGTGGAAAGGGTGTTATTTGCTTACTTCTAACTCTACACTTTGAAGAGTATTTGAGCTACTTTCCGAAAATTGAAGACCTGCCAACATTATACCTTACATCAGCCATATAAACTGTCTTTCCCATCCTGCGGCGAGACGCTCGATTCCCGCCCAGGTTCGTGGAGGAAGTGGCGCGTTACGCGCTGGGACCAGTAGTTCGGAGTTTGCGGCGCTGCGATGCCTTAGCTTATAAAAACAAAGTATTGGTTGTTGGAGAAAAAGGAAAAGAGACAAGAGTGAGAAGCGTTTACTTCCTTATCGTACATAATATTTTTGCTCCAAATGATTTTTTCTATTTGGTGCTACTGAATTTTGTTATTGTGATAGTTAATTTTAGCTGTCAGCTTGACCAGGCTCTTAGTTTTAGACTGAAAATTATATCATCGTCTTCCCTAGTTGAGATCTTCGGACTTAGATTGAGCCCTCTGCTAGCATCTCAGGATCTCAAACTTGCGGATTTGTCAGCCTCCATAATCTTGTGATCCAATTCTGCTAGTAAATCCCCTGCCATCTATCTTGTCTGTCTGCCTGCCTGTGTATATATCTATCCATCCTGCTGCTACTCACTTTGGAGAACTCTAATAAAGTCACAGCATACCGCATTAACTCCGCAGCTCACTAATAGTTTGGAGACCACAGTTAAAAAATTTTAGAAGTGGCAGACTTCAGTTACCCAAAGTATGGAAGCCACCCGTTGGCCAGGATGGGGATACATCCTCTGGCACAGTGTAATAAGAAATACGGTAAATATGGATGTGCGCCCAGTCTAAGAAAAGCTCTATTTCTATTCACACTTATGTATGTGTGTATGCCTTTATGGGTAGATAAGGATTCTTTGTTTTTATTTTGTTTCAGTTTAGTTTTGGTTGGTGGTGAGCTCTACATCACTAAGCATAGGAGCAGGAACCCCAAGTATGTTTTACAGGGATTATGATAGCCGGCTCTGCAATGCAGTACCTGAAAATATCATTGTAAAGGAGGAAAGTATTTTGGTGTCAGCCCATGATCAGCAGGTTCTGTTGTTTTTAGGAGCATGTGAGGCAGAAATGTCACAGCAGCAAAGCTGGACTGGGTGGCACACACCTGTAATCCCAGCACTCAAGAGGCTGAGGCAGGAGGATCACCACGATTTTGAGGAAGCCTAGGCTACATATCAGATTCAAGGCCTGCCTGAACTACATCCTGAGACCCTGTATCCAAAACCAAATAAAACCGAAAGAAATATTATGGCACCAAGGCATGGCAGAAGAAAGCTGCTCACCTCATGGCAGCCAGCAGAAAGAGACAGAAGAGGAGCGAGAGAGGGGCAAATAGAGGGGATAGGGCTGGGGACCCCAGTGACCTACTTCTTCCAGTAAGGTCCTGCCTCCTGATAGCCCGTTCTGCTGTGAACTCATCATGGATCCATTGATTCGTGAGCCAGTCTTCTCTAGGCCCCACCTCTGAACACTGCTGCATTAGGGAATAAGCCCTCAACATTCTACGTGAGTCTTTGGGGGAAACACCTCATACTTATTTTTTTATTTTGGTTTTTTGACATAGGATCTTACTATGTAATTCAGGCTATCCTGTGTGGCCCAGGCTGGCTTCAAACTCACAGCGATCTTCCTGCCTCAGCTTCCCAAGTGCTGGGATTACAGGTGCTTCATAGTAAACTATCATATAGATTAAGCTTTGGGACCATGGTTGAGCCGTTTGTTCACACCTTTTTTTTTCTAAACTATTATTTATTGTGAATATGGAATTTACCGTTTTGACTATTTTAAGTGTACAATTGCACATCATTAGGGGCTGGGGATTTAGCTCAGTGGCGCTACCGCCTGCCTCACAAGCACAAGGTCCTGAGTGATATCCCCAGTACCAAAAAAAAAAAAAAAAGATATAGATACAATTACACATCATTTATTACATTCACAGTATTATGTAGTCACCACTATCTGTTTTCAAAAATTGCCATCACTATAAACAGAAACTCTATGCCAAGTAAATAATACTCTCCTTCTTTGCCATAGCCCTGAATAACTTTGACTTTCTTTCTCAATGAATTTGCCTATTTTTTGAGATTTCTTGTAATGGAAGCATGCAATATTTGTCCTTTTGTGACTGGCTTATTTCACTTGGCATATTTTCAGGGGTCCTTCCACTTCGTAGTATCTATCAGGGTTTGCATTCATTTTTGTGAATAATATTTCATATACATTCATTAATCTGTTGATAGTTGGATAGTCTGTGCCTTTTGACTACTGTGAATAATGGTGCTATGAACAGCAGGATTTCAGGATATAAAAATTAATATATAAAAATCTGTTGTATTTCTATACACTGATAATAATGGGCAAACTCCCCAGAAAAGAATGAAAAGAACCCCATTTACAAGAATGTAATACTATACTTAGGAAATTTAACCAAGGGCATGTACAAGACTTGTGTACTGAAAACTACAAAACTGCTAAGAGAAATGAAAGAAGATACAAATAAACAAAAAGATACCTTGTGCTCATGGACTGCAAGACTTAATATTATTAAAATGAGGCCTTTGATCAGAAACCAGACTTGGGCCGTGTACTCTAACTTCTTAAAGATTTCCTTCACAGACATTCAAGATCGGATCGGCCTCTGATGACCCACGAATAAGAGGCGGCTCTCACCTCCTATTCCCCGCGGGACGGGGTCCCCCCAGAGAGCCGCAACTGGCGCCCAACGTGGTTTACAGAGGTTACCGACTCCCGATCGGACGGCAGAGAGACGACGAGTCCGGAGCCCGCCCGTCAGACACCAGACATTCAAGATCGGATTGGCCTCTGATGACCCACGAATAAGAGGCGGCTCTCACCTCCTATTCCCCGCGGGACGGGGTCCCCCCAGAGAGCCGCAACTGGCGCCCAACGTGGTTTACAGAGGTTACCGACTCCCGATCGGACGGCAGAGAGACGACGAGTCCGGAGCCCGCCCGTCAGACACCAGGTAAGCCCCATCCGGGTGGTGCAGGGTTGGGGTTAGTCAAATCTTAGCTAAGGCACAGCC